TATATATATATATGCGGCGTCCGAATCGGTCACCAGGATCGGTCACCAGGACATCCGAATCGAGAACTAAGAATCGGTCACCGGATTTCCAGGATCGGTCACCGGATTTCCAGGATCGGACACCAGGATCGGACACCGAGAATCGGTCACCAAGCAGATCAAGACATGTTAGGGTATAGCAACGATACCAAACCAACCCGAATCGGTCACCAAGCAGATCAAGACATGTTAGGGTATAGCAACGCAGATCAAGAAAGGTTAGGGTATACCATTGCTAGGCGCTCGGCAATGCTCGTGCGCAGGAAGCTTCAAGTCCATCTATCTGGCATCCTATGTGGCATATCTTCTGACATTTTATCTGGCATATCTTCTGACTAGTTCCGCATGACAATGAAACAGTCTTGTTGATGTCAGACGAATTCATCAACATTAGAGGCCCTTACTGTTGATAAATTTCTTTCCGCGCATCGCCCACTATCATTTCCCCTTGCCGAGACGCCTTATTCGTTTGCCCCTGTTGGACGGCTAGATGCTCAGAGTGGAAGATGTCGATTGGAAGCTCTTGTTTCTTGTGCTGAATGGTTTGATTAAAAATGCTTGAAGTGTTGTTGAGCAGGGTCTAACTAGTTCCGCATGACAATGAAACAGTCTTGTTGATGTCAGAAGAATTCATCAACATTAGAGGCCCTTACTGTTGATAAAATTTCGTGCCGCGCATCGCCCACTATCATTTCCTGTTTCCGAGACGCGTTTTTCGTTTAGCCCTGTTGGACGGCTAGATGCTCAGAGTGGAAGATGTTGATTGGAAGCTCTTGTTTCTTGTGCTGAATGGTTTGATTGAAAATGCTTGAAGTGTTGTTGAGCAGGGTCTGACTAGTTCCGCATGACAATGAAACAGTCTGTATATATATATATTCATTTACAAACGCCATTGTAGTTACGTGTGTCAATATATATCTATACATGTTACATATAAATATGTATGTAGCCATATATCAAATATGCATATATGCATACCCAAACATTATCTGGCGACTTTTCCATCGATATATGGCGCGTACTAAAGACATGAAAAAGTCGCCACTTTGTATTACAATCTCCGTATACCTAAAGGGTGCGCCCAATGCATTTTCAACATTTTTCAACGACAGCATCTTGCATCATCTTGCCACATGTTTGTGTCACGGCAAATGTCCTTCTAGTGGTCACACGTCCGTGAGCTCTGCACCCGAGCTCTGACTCCAAGAAGATTCCTGCATCTGTCTCCACAGTATGCCACACTGTCTCTGTAACAATTTCGGTAAAATGCTGAAATTCTAAGAATCTCAAAGATGCCGATTTCTCGTGCCTGAAGTTGATAGCAGCTACAGGAGTACTGAAGAAGTCTATCAGGCAATGCAATTACTTTGAAGACCCTCCTCAACACGAGATTATAGCAACAGCTCCCAAAATGTCAAAAGCTCCAGGCACTGACAGAATGCTGGCAGACTGCTGGCAGACTGCTGGCAGAATGGCTCAGAGTCAACAAACGTTCGAACAACTTGACATATTTTAACATATCTTGACATGAGTTTCCGCATGTTCCTCTACTAAGTTGACTCTCCTGTTGATCCACAGCGATCGCACCAAGCGGACGGCTTGAATGGCCGGAAAAATGTCCTGTCACTGAAACAAACTAAACAAATACAAGAAATATCAAGAAATGATCAATCTTCATCACACTTGTCACTTGGTGCCATCTGCCTCAGCCAATCCTTGCAGATCGCCAAAAGCCAGCTGCCACGGTGTTGCAAAGGCATCGTACCTATTTCGGCGGAGCTGTTTGATATATATATATATACAATTATATATTTATAATACATATTCTATATCATATATAAATATACGAGTCTATCGTATCTGAACACCATCCTGATTTTGACTTATGTATGAAGTTAGCGATGCAAATCATCTGATGCTTTCGTTGCAAACTGTCACGTGTTTAGCCTTCTGCTTTGTACTTTTTTCTTGCTGACTTCTTGCTGCACCGTGTTGTTTGCTCCCATGCACTGCTTTTCTTAGTTCTGCACACAATCAGCAGGAGGCCCAATAGATCCCGTGCCAATCGACCTTGACTCAAAGGAGGAAGTCGAAGAAATCATCGGCTTCAATATGCATAATATATATATTCATATATCATAATATTATTCAATTTTATATCACTCGTTCGATGCACATTGAAACTTTTGTGACACGACAACCACGCGCACCTCGAGAGAACTCGTGCACTTTCCTTGGCCACGGAAGGACGGCACATCTCTGTGTTAGGCACAACCGTTTTTGCTACATGACATTGACATTAGTTCAAAAAGCAGAACAGGCGGCTTTTCTATCGATCCCTGCTCGTTCCTCTCGTTCCAAGCCAGAAGAACCAAGCGTTCTAATAGATTGGCATTGTTTGACCTCTCATTGCTCTCCAACAGGAGCACGAAATGACCAAAATGGCGCACGACTTTTTATTGCAGCCTCCGACAGGCATCGAAACCGTCTTAATGCATCATTCCTGCGTTTCCAATGTGCCTCAATGACTGGATCTGTACTGAGCACAATTGCTACGCTCTGGCTTCCTTGCTCGCCACTGTACACTGATTTCCTCGGGCTTCAAACTGTATGCACCAAGCAATCAAGTAAAAGGATTGGCTGCAAGCCTACTATCAGGCTGCTTCCTCACCATCAGACTGCACTGCCTGTTCCGGCATAACCCAAATTCGTGCGATGACTGCCGAAGCCCTACCATATCAAAGTATGCCTTTGCACAGCTGTAATGACTCAAACATGGACATCTGCTATACCTCCCTACACTCAAAGCTTAAATCTGCAGTATTGGAAACTCCACAAGAATGAGCTTACTAGACATCATCTAGCTCACTCTGTACATGCTTGCGGGACGAATGACTCCCTCATTTAAACACTGGGAGACTCAAACGTACATTGTTGGACAATGACTCAATCTTTTCGTCCTCCAACCTCCAAGATCTTCCTGCACGACGGAAGACTCGCCCTCATTCCAGTTTGCAACATCACATGTTCTTGATACAGCCACCAAAATGAAGGCTCTTCATTTCCATCATCTCGCTCCAGGCCAGGCAGCGCGGTAATCCAGTACAGAAGTACCTCAACACCGGCCTTCATCAGATCGGGATCGTTCACAAACTTGTCTCCATGCAGCATCAACGGCAGGCCAATGCCTTCTGGCGACAACAAGATACACGATTGCATCGCACAGCCTGCTCGGGAATGCTTCATTTCCCCGATGCGACTGATGATTCCCTGCACCGCTACACACTCGTACGCTTCACCAAGGCAGTTGAAATCTGTGACGATCCATGAAAGGGATGGGTGAATTGATACGGATCCTTCGCCAACAACCTCAATGTCGGAACTCTTGATCGATTGGACCTTTGCAAGCCTTTTGCCACCACACTTCCCCAGCACGATGACCTCAAAGTTTGTTGCTCGGATCCTGGGGAATGCTTCCGAATCTTGAAAGGCTGTCTCAATAGTTCTCTGCTTTTTTGAAACAAGATCATTCCACAAGTTCACCTGTATGATGCTTCCGCCGTCTGCAAGCATGAAGCTCAGCACCTTCCTCACACCTCGTGAGCCAGCTTTCCCATCTGCAATCTGCTTCGCCTCTCCCAACTCCACCACAAAGCCTTCAAAGGACACGGCAGCTTTGGCTTCCGGAACTCCATGAATATCCGCCACACACTCACACATAGTTGCAGAGGGAATTGTCCGGTTCCCCCCAGACACCCGCCGCTTCTTCGGCGTGCCGTACTCCTGGGCAGGACCCCCAGAAAGACCTTGTGCATGTGCTAATGCTGCCTCTGGCGAAAGCTTCGCGACATTGGCTTCTGGCAATCTGGAGTCAGCTTCGTCCAGGGTCAAATCCACGGCACTCATTGCAATAACTCTTTACCGCTTCTTGATCCCAAAAATGCTGCATTCCTGCACATGTAACCTGGAGCTTCTCAGCACACACGAAATACTGACCCCTACCAATCTTACAACTCAGACCACTAAGCTATGTACGGCTCAAAGAAACGCAACACGGTGCTCATAAATCAGCCCCCCGACACAAGCCTGTGAATTGTCCACAAACGGAACAGTGCAACTGACTTGCAGCCAATGTCAAAAGAGATGGATGGCTTAGGGCTTGGGGCTGAGATACTCCCTAAGGAAATCCGCCAAAATCTATCAAGTTATATCAAGTTCAACACCCGAATCGTCTACCGAGGCAGCCCACTCCGGGCTACCCCGCCATGTCAGGACCAAAGCCCCACTTCTCAAAGTAGAGCTGGATCTCTAGAGATTGGAAAGAGCCGAACCTCGTCGATGACCAGTCCTCTGGTTGGTGAAAATGAATCATGACAATCCACGAGTTTTTGGGGATAAGGTAACCCCAACTATCATCCAACTATGACTTATCAAATTCATGACAATCCACGAGTTTTTGGGGATAAGGTAACCCCAACTATCATCCAACTATGACTTATCAATCACATTCATTCATTACATTTAATCTTACTTATAACTTATATCCCCATAGTTTGATGGCTATAATAATCATGCAACAGAGGCTCACAGCACATCTGTCCTGGGAGCTCCCGGTCGAACGTCCAAAGAAGCGCATCATTGAGACAAAATGGCAGTTGGCCCGTTGGCCCCCAACCAGGGCGAGGAGTGAGCCAGAGGAAAACATCAAGCTCGAATCTGGGGTCGGCGGCAGGGGGCGTAAGCCCTTTAATTTCATACAAGCTCGCAGCTGGTTCAATTCTCCCTCAGCCGCTTGGCCTGCAAGTGCGTATGGTTGCCATGCAACGAGTTCTTCTCGTCGAGAACTGCCTTGCCAAATGGGAAGTAGTTCTAGCCATGAGAATGTAGCCATGGGATCAGTCATGTGCCATGGTGAAAACACATCCAAGCTACAAACTACACAGGCATCAGAATCTACTTCACTACAATGTCATTGGTGCAAAAAAATGCTGCTCGGTTCCGCTTCTATCGCTTGTGTCTGAGGATTTTGCTTGGTGTAAACGCTGCACCTGGACACAAGATGATGCAAGCCCATTCAAATGCCATTCAACATGATTCAAACATAACTCAAACGTCACTGGACTCCTTTCAACCCCTTTCCAGCCTCAAGCTTTGCCCTCTCTTCTGCTTCCTTGTCACTTTGAAGCCTGGTGAAGTCGACGTGAAAGATCGTGAAGATCAAACGGCTTTACGCAATTCTTCTTTTTACAAGCAAGCAGCGGCTCAAAGTGCTTGTACGACTCATGTACCAACCCTAAGGCATCTTGTGAGTCGTGTGCTCTCCTTCTTTGATCATCCTTCACTTTGTTTAGATCACGCTGCACTTCGGCATGTTTGCGCTCTGCTTCCTGACCTTGGTCCATTCCACTAGTGGCTGCACAACAAAAGGTCAGAGGAATGTGGGAATGCTGGAGAGTTGTCAAAGCCACGAAGCCACGAAGCCACGAATCATGAAGAATCTGCATCTTTGAGGCACAAACGAAGTCTAGCCTCATCTTCCTTCTCCCGTGTCACTCGCTGATGGTCTGCACCTCAAATGTCAATGTTCAAAGCGAATGTTCATCCACGCGAAGATCATGAATTGGCCCTCTCACTAAAGGTCTTGCCAAGGGAAGTGAAGCCAAAGTAACTGAAAAAAACACATATCCAAGCGGTCACATCATTGTGATTCGCAGCTGGATTTGCATCAGGTCATGATACCTTGGCCATCGTTGGCCAGTAAGCTTTGCACGGACACGTTCCATATCTTGCAAGACAGCTTGATGTTCTTGCTCAACCTGTGCATTGTCAACCGGTTCTTCTGCTAACTTCAAAGCTGCAAATTAGCTTCCTTGCCGTCCCTTGCCGTCCCTTGCCGTCCCTTGCCGTCCCTTGCCGTCCCTTGCTGTCCCTTGCCTTCTGTCTGGCTGCTTGCTCTGCTATCTTGTCCTGGCTCCAGGTCAAGCACCGGAGCATGTTTGCATTTCGTCGTACGCCTTAACAAAGTCTATTTACAAATGTGTATATATATATATACATATTTATATATATATACATAATTATATCTGTTCCATAAATTCTATACGTCGAAACGACATGAGAAGACTCTCTTTCAGTTTCCTGTCCCATCACTGCGATATCCAGGTTGCAAAACAAGTGCGCAAAAGGCCACGACATAAACTAGTCGTGCGGGCTGCTTGAAGCCTCTCTTGGTCAGATCTCATTCTTTCCATGTCCTCACTCCATGCAGCAGTAAAGTGTAAAGTATGGAGAATGAATGTGCGGATTTCAAAACTGGACTGCAACAGAAGGTTGGTAACATCTCTCATCAAAACTACATCTCTTCTCCACAACAAGAAAATACTGAAGCCACCAAAGCGAGAAATTTGCCTTTACTCTGTGCAAACAAGAGTAGAAACTGAGCCGTGTCTGTAGTATGTCAGTTTTATTAATATGCTTTTCTGTTTAAGTTTACTTAGTATGCTTTAGTGTTCAGTTTAGTCAATGAAGGTCGGCCTGCAAAGACGCTGCGTGCTTCTGCTCCGCTAGCAACCGTGCTCTCTTCTCGGCCTCCTGGTCCTCATCCCGCGAAAACGAATACAGGCTTTGTCGAAGACTCTTTACGAACGGAGAGGCTTTAACCACTGTGTCAAACTATATTTCAAGGCATGGCAGCTGCAGCCTGGTCATTCTAAAAAGATTGAGTTCACACAATTCAAACAGTTCACACAGTTCACACCAATGGTCAACTATGGTCAACTCAATAGTCATTGTTTGCACAGCTTTTGCAACAGGCCTTTGACAGCTCCGCTTGGTCGGACTTCAACTTGTCCATATCTTGCACCACTGCTTCATGCTGTCTTTGGAACTGTTCCTGCATTCTAACGACCATTAACTACCACTTCCAAGGATTTCCAGTGCCCTTCGCTGCCCCAGCTGCCCTAGCTGTCTATCACACTTTAAGAAATTGTCAAAGTCGGCCGCGACAAACCTGCCTTGGCTCGGACTTCACTGGCTAGGGAAGCCTCTGCAAACAGCAGCTTAGGTTTTAAACTTGTGTGAAAATTGTGGAAATAGGAAAAGAAGAGAACTGAAGGAGAATTTAAAACTCCGTTTGTTTTTGGTGAAATGAAAGAAGCAAAACTCTATGTCTCACCGTGCCTTTAACTTCTCCTGATCGTCGCGAAGCTTTGTTGCATCTTCTGTCACCTGAAGAAGTCAACCACAAAATCTACATATATAAAGCATCACGCAGAACGGACTATTTGAGTAATATTTCACTTTACTTTTATGTAATTTTGCAAATTTACATCACTGTTTGATTACTTTTGCATGCAGAAATATTGGCTGCCTGTGCGTGAAGCCTTTGCATCTCAACGCGGGAGTTTTCCTCTGCCTCCTTGTCTGCTTGCAGCCTGACCGTTTAACATTGTTTAATGGCCGGGTATTTGTCGAAACAGATCACAATGAATGCTTCCTGTCAAAAAGAACCTTAACTTTAATCTCAAAGTTTTGACGTCGGAGTGATGCTACCCGTGGTTGCTACGTACACATACCAGAAAATGAACATGTTCCTAATGGAATTAGTATTTAGTTTGAACCATCAACACTGCCTCTTCCTGTTGTGCATGGATTTTATTGGATTTTTCTAAGCTCACTCAGCACAGTCGAAACTCACTTTTTCGACCCCTATTGGAACACCGCAGAAATAGGATTGCAAAAGGTAAGGAGTCAATCCCCAAAGGACCCTCAACTTCAAACAAAACTCAATCACTGAACCATGGCTGATGCCACCCGCAGCATGACAGCTACTCATACGCATTCGCAGTTTCACTTATGGGAATGAAATCCCTACCCACGTTCAATTTTACATTCATTGACGTTCAAAAAGGTTAGAAAACTCAATTATCTGCACACAAAGAAATAACATTCGCACTCCGCACATCCATTCAAGACTTTCAAAAAGGTAAGAAAACGGGCGTTAGCACTTGTTTTCACAAGAAGGTGATAGCGAGTGCACGGAAGGGCATAAAACCAGCAAAAAGCAGATTTCCGTCACAGCACTTCAGCACTTTGACCTTTTTTTTACGGGGAGAATGTCCCTACAGTAGATAGGTCACTCCACCTGACCTGAAGTCATTTAATTCATCATTTGATCCCTATGATAAAGCTACAAAATACTGAGTCAATACTGTCGGAACCGCCGCGAAACACATTGGGGCATAGCACAAGTGCTGGCCGTAACGTTCGATACCGCCTTGAAAAAGATAGCGTTTACTGTATGTTTACTGTAGTCCAATGATGGCTGAAAATGAACTCCTTGGTCACAATAGGTCACATTGTTTTTATGCGACAATCTTAGTCTCACAGCGTAGAGTGAAAGAGCATGAAAGAGCCGCACGTGCCTGGAACAGCGGTCTTTCCATTCTTCCAGCTCTTTGAGGACAGCTGCTTGGGCTTCAGACACCCGCACCTCTCCCTGCTTCTCTGCAGTCTGCCAGGGTTGAAGAACTGACATCTCAACACAGCACACTTAAAACAGAGAACCTCATAGGACCTCATCGATCCAAATACAAATATAATATATATATATACACATGTGTGTATATATATATACATACATATATGGATCACCCAGATTTCAAATCCCATGCATGTTCCATATACATATATATATATATATATACGGAAGATCCACAAACATTCTAGAAGATGGCAAGTCAGACATAGTCATATGTGCTCAGAATGTTTCTTGATGACATGGTTTTATCACAACGTTTATGAATGAAACTGTCAGACGCGGGAAGTTCGTAGTACTTGCCACTTCCATGCGACTGATCTTCCGAAATTGCATTATGGCGACAAATGGCGACAGATAGCGACAGCCTTGAGATTCTTACTGTGAGTTGCTGTCAAGGAAGCGCGCCTTATGGCAGATTTTGTGTCTCAAGGGATCTGCTCAAAGTCAAAACTGGCTGCAACATTTGGACAGCAAGATGTACTGCAAGCTACTGTAATATAAAATGTAAGAATATTGTAGACAGTAGACGGCTCAGGTTGTGGCAGTTGCTGTGTTTCGCGGCTTGCTGCCTGGCGCAAATGTGACACATGTTCATTTTGATTTCACATGTCGCAGCTTTTCGACTCCAAAGCAGCTCTTAGTCACGGTCACTTCCTGTGCCTCTCGCCACTGCTCTCTGTGGCTGTGTAGTGCTGACTCGATCTCTCGGCCTTTGTCTTCCTGCCACGAGTAACACAGAGTACACTAAGACGCAGTGCTTAAAGTGTCGAATGCTCGGCTGCACAGCCTCTGCTTGTCTTATTCGGGCAACCAGAGCCTTTCGTTCTTCCTGCCATTCGAGCTGATGTTTTCTGACTTGAAGTGTTTCGAAATTCAGAAGCACTCCAAGAAATAGTCAGTCCTCAGATTTTGCCTGTACCTCAAGGAATACAGAGCGCTCCAGCTCCATTTCCCGAACCTCAGCATTATGCAATCATTGGCAGTGGTGAACCCAAAACCTATCTAAGAATATACAATTTATACAAGTAAGATAAGTTATATAATGTAAGTCTCAAGAAGTGAACGAAAAGAATGAAAGGAGCCTACCGAGGAACTGATGTTTGCAAATGACAGGAAAAATCAGGAAACCAAGATAAATCAAGTCAGTATCAATATTATCAAATGAGTCACTTTGAAATGCTCAGACCGCTGCCCGTTGTTGCAGAGTCTGATTGTCAGCAAGGACAGTCCGCGAGTTCTCCTGCCAGGCACTTGGAGAACTCCCAAGGCGAAGGGCTGCTGCCCTGGCTGCCCTGGCTGCCCTGGCTGCCCTGCCTCCAGCTGCCTCAAGTCAGCACCTGCGGCGAGATCAAGAGAAAGCCCAGAGTCCCAGAGTTTCTTCCGCTTCCTGACTTCCTGAGCCTTTTAAAATCTTTTAAACTTATCCTGAGCCTATTGAATCTATTGGCTTCTTAATCCCCTTTATGGCCTATTCCGAAAGTTCCTGCTATTGCCTGCCATAGCCTTCCAGTTGCCATCTCTCCCGACGTGGGCATGGCACCTGCGGCAGCTTGAGCCTCTTGCAGCAACCGAAACTGCTGCCTCTCTCGCTCCAAAGTTGCCTGTCGCAATGGCAAACTGAGTCACAATTTGTCACAATTTGTCACAGTCCCAAAGTTGTCACAGACATCAACCGCCACATCTGATCTCAAAAAAGACTGCCTCTGTTTCTCGTAACCGCTCCTGCAGGAGATGAACAAAAACATAGAAACATAAAGAGCTGAAGAGCTTGATTGAAATCGCATAGGAATCAAATGAGAACATAGTAGGCAGTGTGCAGAAGAACATGAGTTGAAATGGCACGTCTCCGTTTGGAACAGTTCTAGCACAAGGCAGATGTGAGAAAACCCTCCAACAGCCAGGCTCAATTCCCATAAGTCCAAAAAGCTGGACACTGGACACTGGCCTGATCAAACCGTCAAACCGAGTCAAACCCCATATCTCATCAGTCTGATCATTCTGATCATTCTGGATTCTTCGAGTTTCCAGAATGCCGCGTTGCCCTACATTCCAAAAGGAGTTCGCTTCGAACTGGATGTTGTGCGTGCGCACACACTAAATCAGAAAAGAGATCAGATAGAGTGCTGTCCTGGAGCAATTGAAGTCGGTTAGAAGCATCTTTGGACTGCTGGTTTGCTGCCTGCCAAAACCAACAAAGTCCAACGTTTCCGCCGCTCCTTTGATATTGAGCAGAAACATATGCAATAAATGATTAAATGGCTATATGAATACTATGAATACTATGAATACTATGAATACTATGAATACTATGAATACTATGAATACTATGAATACTATGAATACTATATGAGCTATGTAAAAACATGACCTCGTGAAGCTCTGGCATATCCTTGGCTTGGCCTCTTCGGCAGCCAAGGCACGCTGTCGACTTTCCTTGGCTAACGTAATTAATGTAATTGACAAATCGAATTCAAATCGATAGAATCAATAGAATCAATAGGCAAAGGAAGGCAACATCCTGCCTGAACAGACTCAGCCAAAGCCCGAGCCTGAACAGACTTTGCAAACAAATTCAAAGTTAGGACAGATAGGACAGTTAGGACAAAGACTCGGTCTGGCGGAGTCTGGCAACACCTAGTGTCCCACGTTGGGACTTGCACCAGCCTCCGTACCCTCTACCCATGTCTACCCTCTCAAAGGTAACAGGTGAAACGAGGGAACACGCTGCACCATGCTGCACCACGCTGCCCTAGGCTGCACTATGCTGCACGCTGCACCTCTTGCAAACGTCGTTCACACTCCATCTCCAGGTTTGCACGCACCTGCACTCACACCCTCACTTGATTCTGCACTGAAACCTTTGCTTCCGAAGCTCTATATTCTGGTATGAATCTATAAGATGCGATTCATTCTGACTGGATGTATAAAGGTCGAGTCATTCCACCTTCGGGGCAAATTGTAGCGTTATTGAAAAAGTAGTCCAGCAACTTTCAGGCAGGTCCAAACATAAGCTTGCTGTCTTGCAGTATTGCATCTGTATCACGTGCTTGAAAGTCAGCGGGCCTTCACAAGTTCAACACGTTCTGTTTCAACCTTCGCTCCAGAGAATCATTACCAAGATTCATAATTGATTGATTTGAGCGCAGATGAAGCAACACACTGAAAAAGAGGAATGGCAACTCAAGTATGTCTCGAAAGCTTGCAAGCAAGCGAGCCTGCTTCTTCAGTTCTTCATGCTCGCCCTTGCAATCACCAATGCTTTTGCTAAATCGGAAATCTCTACGCAAATAGTATGGCTGAACTCCTGTTTCGGACCTCAAGGATGGACAAACGTCTGGCTGGGCTGTCTCTGGCCTTGAGACATGGTGCGTGGAATTCATACAATACTAGCTACATCGTAGATGTGTGGTGGATACTGCTTGGTATGGTTTCCAAAATTCAATCCAAACCTATCAAAATCACACACATGCCTTCCAAAGCTAGCAAGCATTCATTGCATGCCGGAGACATGTCGTGGCTATTGGATACTTTGCCCTTTCAGAAGCTGTCCCACTCTAAGCATTCTGCAGTTTCCTCGTCACCAGACAGCAATCCTCATGCCAAATTCGTGCACGACAGACTCTACTTGCGACACAGACTGCACTGACTGCACAGACTGCACTGACTGCACTGACTGCACTTCAAAGGCTGGTCGAGTAGCGGACCGTCATCTCGCAGGAGTGGACGACGGCCTCAGCTTGCTGTCACAAACAACACTCTCAAACATTCTCAAACAAAACCTGACTGCCAAAAACCTGAGATATTTCCAAGTGTGTGGCCACGGTCGGAAACCAAGCGCCGAAGGTCCGTGAGATGTGCCTGCCTTGGACCGTAGAAATGTGTCGAAATCCGTAGGTTTTACATTGTGTCAACGACAGATGGATCCAGAGCTTGTGCAGATCGGTCTCCCTGCCTGGACTCACATGCCTCCCTACGACTCTCGATGCTGCGGATCTGCTTGTCGATCCAATCAATGGTGCCTCACATAAAGTTCATAAAGTCTTGTGCTATCGATCGTGAGAGTTCTAAAAACTTTGTGGGGGGTTGCAGAGAATTCAGGAACTGAGGGATTGTCTGTCGTTGTCAGCTTCATCGTCATCATCATTGCCTTGCACGGTCGCAGCAATATTTTGGTGACATCACAGTGTTGGTTGCTTGCATTCTGAGAGCCGAACCGGACACTTCAACCTCACATTCGGCATTGGAGCGATTTGGAGCAATTTTGAGAATACGTTCACAGGCCAAAGCAATTCTCGGTCAAAGCTCTGCAAAGCTGCCTTCTGGCCATCCTTCAGATCCACAAGAGGTGACTTTACGCACCTAGGTGCAGGTCAAGCAGGTCAAGCAAGAGAGTTCTTTGATGTCCTGTCCTGTCACGGGAATCTCGGGAGCTTCCATTGAGGCCTCTGCGCGGCGAGGTCATCTGAGAGTTCACGCTCCATTTCTGATACCTTTCAGGAATGCTTTCAAGGCTTTCAAGGCTTTCAAGGCTGTCAATTGTGCCTTTCAATGTGCAAGTGGGAACGTATTTTCAGCAAGGTGTTTTCAGTAAATATCACTCCAGCGACAAACGCTATATAATTAAACACTTTTGCACCATATCCGGTTAGCTTGGCTATTTATGCTACTTACACTGCACGCTGCCCCCACGTTTTATTGCACAATACACGAGAGTACTTCAGTGTATTGCACAAGGTTGCAAAATGTAATCACAATGTTGCACCTCACAAGCCTCCTGAGCAACAGACCACTCCATCAATGCGCTTCAGGAGATCCTAACAGTTCTGGACAGCTCTGGGATTACAAAATCGCTATAAACCGACTGTAAATCTGTGTTTTCCTCGATCAAATCACGCGAGCCTAAAGTATCAAAGATGCATTGGAGTCTCAGTCCAAAGTAGTCCAAAAGTAGTCCAAACACAACGTTGTTCCTCGGAGAGGTGCGAAGGCTGGGAGGCTTCAGACCTGTTCAATTCACAGCTGGTACAGTAATTGGATAGAAACTTGTGTGTGTGCGCACCCTTCGCGTAAGAATATACACCATGCATCTTACATCATCTTACCAAATCATATCAGGACCCTTGTCGTTTTTCTCTCTTTAATGTCATGTTGAAAACTGCTTGACATGGTGAATATGGCAGTGGTTTTTGCCCGTGCACTCATCTTCTCATTCCACACCAACATTGAGTCTGGGTTTCAGGCGGTGGGACAATCTGTATAGATGGGACCTGTTATCTACATAGAATTGAGTGATGGTTGCATGATTTGCTTGCCAAACTCTTGCCAAACTTTGGACGCTGAGCACTACACAGTCAACGGCCTCAACAGTGTGATTGATATATGAAAGCGATGCACAAGAAAACAAATTTCGATCAACCTTGCATTCCGAGACAAGTGCTGCGCTGCTGGCACCTGGAAACAATTGAAACGTGCGTAGCCAAATTGCAAAATCTACTGAGTCTACTGCACCAAACTGCATCTAAGTCAGACTGTCTTTGTTGATAAAAAGAAGCCAGGCACTTGCGCAATGGTCTGCACTGGAACCTGATGGACACAAGAACACAAGTTTCAATTTCATCTCAACAGAATCCGTTGAAACAAGACCCTGTGATTCTTCAGCGCTCGCATTGCCAAAGTTGCCTGGACAGCTGTGGGAGAAGCCACGAGTCGTCTACCTTGGCTTGATCCATCGACCAAGTGATTACCAGTGATTACCAAGTGGAGCTTGATCCAAGCGTTCATTCAAAGCGACATGGACGAACAACCCTGCTGTGGTCATTGCCGATTGGACTCCGCGATGTATCAGGAGACCTTGGTAAGGATAGGATTAAAACCAAACATCAAACACAAAATGAAATAACATATATATATATATACATATCATATCATATAATGTTGCATTATAGAACA